AGCTATAAAATGTCAAGAACTAACTCAAAATAGTGGGTGAATAACATGAAAAATCATGTGTAAAAATGAACCGAACAGCGTCCATGACGTGTTGGCAGGAACGTGGGACTTTTGCTTCTGTTGACTGAAACGTTCGAGGACCTTGACCTTGACCTTGACTTTGGGTAGTTCAATAACATATTCATCTGCTGCTCAAGGCCAAACCACTGCCCCGAAAAAAAGTAATTAATTATGAAAGAACTTCTTCTGCTCAAGTCGGATCGGAAGGCAGTATCAATTTGTAGTTGGACTGATCTGAACCAGTATCAATTAATGGATGCCAGGAAAGCCCATAAAGCCTCCTCTTCATCCTCACCATCCTCCTCATCCTCACCATCCTCCTCATCAAAACGTTGGGAGTACCAAGTGTTCTTGAGCTTCAGAGGTGAAGACACACGCAAGGGCTTCACAGGCCACCTCCACGCCGCATTATCTAATGCCGGAATCCGCACCTTTCTTGACGACAACGAGCTAAAAAGAGCGGAATTTATAAAAACCCAACTGGAGCAGGCAATCGACGGGTCCATGATCTCCATAATTGTCTTCTCCAAGAGTTATGCCGATTCCAGTTGGTGTCTTGACGAGCTGGTGAAGATCATGGAGTGTAGAGACAAATTGGGGCAACAGGTTATTCCATTGTTCTATAATGTTGATGCTTCAGATGTCCGGAAACAAACTGGTAGCTTTGCACAAGCATTTGAGAAACATGAAGCGGGCATCTGTGAAGGTAAACATGAGAAAGAAAAGGTACAGCGGTGGAGAAATGCTCTCACTCAAGCTGCAAATTTGTGTGGGGAAGATCTTAAAAATGCTGCTGGGTAATTACTAATTTCTTGTTCCTTGGATTATCATCTCCTTACTTGACAACCATATGTTCCCTGTCCTTTTTGTTTTTCAAACTACGTTTTTGACTTTGAAGTTTGGTGTTTGTTTGTGTGGTTTGGTTTTAACTAAGCATTCTTTCTTACTTGATAATGTAAGATCCATTTAACATTTGATGTTAAATCCCAATCTTAATTGTTAATTATATCTTAATTCTAAATTATTAAGTTAGGGATTCAATTTAACCTTGTAGTTTGTTCTGCTTCTGTGTTTAATTGCCAGGAATGAAGTAGAGTTTATCAAGAAAATTCTTAGGGTGGTTAATAACTTGGTGAACAGAAACTACCAATTAGACATCGAACACCTTGTTGGAATTACTTCTCGGCTGAACGATGTTGTTCGCATGATTGATATTGAAAATTCAGGTTCTAAGGATGTTGTTCGCATGATTGGTATTTTGGGGATGGGCGGCATTGGAAAAACAACGCTTGCCAAAACCATTTATAACAAATTTGAACGTATCTTTGAAGGTCGTAGGAGTTTCCTTGAAAACGTGAGGGAAGTATCTGCAAACCAACGCAGTAATGGTCTGGTTGGTTTGCAAGAACAACTTCTAAATGATATCTTGAAAGGAGAGGGCATAAAGGTTGGATCTGTTGCTAAAGGGATCGATATGATAAGAGAAAGACTTTGCTGTAAAAGAGCACTTGTCATAATTGACGATGCAGATGATCTACAGCAATTAAAAGCAATAGCTGGAGCTCGTGATTGGTTTGGTCCTGGAAGTAGAATTGTCATAACAACAAGAAATAAACATTTGCTAGAGCAAGTTGGAGTGGATAGCACATATATGGCTCAAGCAATGAATGAAAAAGAAGCTCTAGAGCTCTTTAGTAGGCATGCCTTCAAAAGAGGTGATCCTGATCAAGAATATCTTGACCTTTCAAATTTTGTAATTCGTTACTGTCGAGGCTTGCCACTAGCACTTGAAGTTGTAGGGTCTTTTCTGATTAAAAGATCCACAGCGGAGTGGGAAAACCATTTGGAGAAATTGAAAATAAGTCCTGATGGAGATATTCAAAAAACACTCAAAATAAGCTTTGATGGGCTACCTGATGATAGAATGAGAAAGATATTCCTTGATATATCTTGTTTCTTTATTGGATATGACAAGGACTATGTAACCCAAATATTAGATGGATGTGGCTTTCATGCAACGATAGGAATCAGAGTCCTCATCGAACGGTGCCTTGTAACTGTTAGTGAGCAAAACAGGCTGATGATGCATGATTTGCTTCGAGACATGGGAAGAGAGATCGTTCATAAAAATGCCCACGGTCACCCTGAAAAATTTAGTAGATTGTGGAAACGTGAAGACGTAACAGATGTATTGAATGATGAATCTGTAAGTACTTTCCGAATTAAGTTTTAGAATGCATCATGCAAGAGAAGCATATGTATCCCGTGTCTATAATAAATTAAAATGTCTTTCTCCATGTTTTTTGTTTATTACAAGCGATAGTCTAAATTAAAGTAAAACTTGAGGAAGAGATGGAGATGGAGATCGAGGCAGATGAATTTAAACTTGAGACCTTAGTTTGCAAGTTTATACTATTTTTCACTTTGCTAGACCCCGTTGCCATTTCTTATATTATATCCATTAATATCAACGCTCAATTAGGCATAACCAACAAAAAATATGTCCAATACTATTAATTATACCTTTTGGTTAATACAAACACGGATTTTCATGTTTGTAAATCATTTTTCTAACTCGGTATCTTTTGTTAATAGGGAACTGACGAAATTGAAGGAGTTGCTATAGATTTGGATTTTGATGTAGATTCAGATCTAGATTCGACTAGATTCAGCGCACAAGCATTTACCAAGATGAAAAAACTGAGGTTACTCCACCTCAGCGGAGTAGAGCTTACTGGAGAGTACAAAGATTTTCCCAAAAAGTTAATGTGGTTGAGCTGGCATTTTTTTCCTTTAGAGTCCTTACCAGATGACTTTCCTATGCAACCAAAACTAGTTGCTTTAGACCTGCACCATAGCAAACTCAAAATAGTTTGGAAGGATTGCAAGGTATAATAATCTCAACCTAGTTGTTGTTGGTTCTTTCCTTCTGGTTCTATACATATATTATACTTCACCATCTCTTCATTTTGGTTTAATTTCTTCTTTTGGATTTTAATTTCCATTCTAATTTTGTTTTTGTGTAACAGTTGCATCAGAATTTGAAAATCCTTGATCTCAGTGGTTCCTATCAGCTAACAAAATCACCAGACTTTTCAAAACTCCCAAATCTCGAGGAATTGATATTGCAATACTGTGAGAGTTTGTCTGAGGTTCACTCATCCATCGGGGATCTGGGAAGACTTTCTTTGGTAAATCTTCAATACTGCAAAAATCTTCGTGCAATTCCAGATTTACCAACAAAATTGAAAGTCTTACGAGCAAATGGCTGCATTGCATTGGAAAAAATGCCAGATTTTTCAGAAATGTCGAATATAAGAGAATTGTATCTAAAGGATTCATTCAAACTCACTGAGATTCCAGGCTTGGATAAGTCATTAAACTCCATGACAATAATTCATATGGTAAACTGCACTAATCTCACTGCCGATTTTAGGAAGAACATCCTACAGGTCAATCCTTCTCTCTCTCTCTCAAACACACACATACATCTTTCTCTTTCTATCACATACAACGCATATGTACACATGCATGCATAAGAATGCATTTCTTATAGAAATTTGGCTGTACATGGTATAGGGATGGACTTCTTGCGGATATGGTGGCATTTTTCTCAGTGGAAATGATATTCCTGATTGGTTCCACTGTGTCCATGACGATGATATTGTGTATTTCACTGTGCCTCAAAGTGTTGGTCGTAATTTGAAAGGGTTAACTTTGTCATTCGTTTACTCTTACTCTTCAGACTCATTCACCAATTTTTGCATTAGCATTAGCATTAAAAACATGACCGAGGGTACTGAGCTTGACGCCAGTATCATACCCGATTGTACAATGGAGGGTTATTATCTTTGGCAGGGACAGTTATCAAATGACGAGCTCAAATTGCAAGACGGTGATAAAGTCTGGATTGAAATAATAGCGGACAAATGGGTGAAGGTGAAGAAAACAGGTGTTAGTCTGGTATGGGACAAATTTATGAACGAAAATATGATTGATTACCATCTTTGTGCGTATGAACGACGCCCATCTCAAAATCTGGTCAATGATGATGACATCATTCATGTCGAAGATGATGATGACATGACAAAATCACCAGACTTTTCAAAATTCCCAAATCTCGAGAAGTTGATATTGAAAGGTTGTAAGAGCTTGTATAAGGTTCACTCATACATCGGTGATCTTGGAAGACTTTCTTCGGTAGATCTTGAAGGCTGCGGAATGCTAAAGGATCTCCCATTGAATTTCTATAAATCCAAGTCTATTGAAACTCTTATACTTAATGGTTGTTGGAGTGTTGAAAACTTGGCAGATGGCTTAGGGGACATGGTATCATTGACAATTTTGAAAGCAGATAACACGCACATCAGAGAAATTCCATCTTCCATAGTAAAATTGAAGAAGTTGAGAATTTTATCTCTATCTGGTGAGAATTTTGAAATTCCATCTTTTACCCCTTTCGTTACATGCCTTAAACTCTTTAATAGAGTTATTATGTCTTGCAGGCTGCCGGCAGTTAACTGTGGATGCAATCCGTAAGGATGTATGTAGCCTAAGTTCTTTAGAACATCTGCTTCTTGGACGCAATATCTTTTGTAGCCTACCAAGTCTCGCTGGTCTTTCAAAGCTCAAGGTCTTGTGTTTAAATGCATGCAGAGAACTTCTTGCAATCCCAGATTTACCAACCAATTTGCATGTTCTGAAAGCAATTTGCTGCCCAAAATTGGAAACAATTCCAGATTTTTCAAAAATG